CTTAGGGAGGCAGAGGCAGGCAGATCACTGTGAGTTTGAGGCCAGCCTGGAAAGACTACAAAGTGAGTCTAGGATAGCCAAGGCTGCACAGAGAAACTTTGTCTTGAAAAAACAAACCAAAAACAAAGAAAAGGAGATATTCTTTTTAAACAGTCTTCATTCATTCAGCCATTTGTTCCATGACTTTGCTCTATTACTACTGTATTACACACTATTGTTTTTATATTACTACTATATTACACACTTCTGGTAAATGATGTCTGATTCTCTAATCATATCTGAAATATCTTTCTCAAACTTAAGAAAATTCCTTCCTGACCTGGCTCACAGATAAACTCATCAGAAACAACAACCAGTGATTCCATCCTGGCTTTTGTCATTTGCTGCTCAATCTGAACTACTTAAGTTGTTGAAGTATTGTACACATGGATTTGATACATAGTAACTGTCCTAACTGAGCAATAAGTCAAAGCCTGTGTTTCCCTTTGTCTGTTGATAATCAAATACTCATACATCATACAGTTCTAGGTTACAGTACCCACTGCTCAGACAAGCCTTCCAATAGCCACAAACAGTAACTTCGCTCTGTGAATCCAGATGTGGAAACGGAGTTGTGGACCTAGGAGACAGCTTTCTGGGATGGCTGCTGTCGGGTTTAAAGGGTCTTTTTCAACTGTTGAGAGCTGAGAGCTCATGAAGAGAATTACTCATGACGCAGTGTGTCCAATGGATTTTCACATGGAACATGGAAACAGGTAAAGTCTGTCTCTATAGAAATAATGAACTCCCTGGCTCCTCTCCAGGTTAGGATAATCTCTGAGTGATTTACCAAGTTGAGAAGAGCTTCAGAAATGTCAGAGAGCACATGTGCAAAGAAAGAGGAGAACTGTTGCTGCAATTATTTACTGTAATTATTAATTAGCTGTGTGCTAGGGGGTGGGAATGCAGAAAGAATTGACGGGCAATCCATGTCCCGAAGGAACTCAAAGTTCCCTTGAGAATTAGACGAAAAAACAAAAACTAATAAGAGAAACTAATAACATCCCTCTGTAATAAGAGAGATGTTATAACTGAGCTAGGGGAAGCAAGACCAGTCAGGGGGTTCTTGTAGGAAAAGAGAAATGATGTCCAAAGTTTCATTTGAAAAGATAATGAAGGACAAGTGTAAACATTCCAGGAGGTAAGGGAAGGACCTGACATTTTACCAAGACAAATACGCACAAAACGACAGTTTGTGATAAACATCTCTACTGTGTTTATGGCTGCCTAAACTATCACAGGTACCACACAGCTCCTGCTATTGGATCCTGTGAACAAGAGGGTGGAAGACAATTCAGAAGTTAAGAGCCATATTGTTCTTGAAGACCCTTGTCAGAAGGCTCATAGCTGCCTGTATATCCAACGTTATGGGATCCAAAGATCTCCTCTGGTCTCAAGAGGAACCTTCACTCATGTCCAACACCCACACAAAGATACCCATGCACATAATTAAAAATTAGGCCTTTTTTCTAAGATGCAGAATATTTGTGTTTTTATTTTTAATTTATGTGTATGTGTCTTCCAAAAACCTTGGATTTGCTGAAGAGTAGGAATCACTTCTTAACTGCTGAGCCATCTCTGCAGACCCAACATACAAGATGTAAATAATAATAATAATAGTTAAGGGCAGTTTCTTTTTTATACTTTCTCAGATGAGGGGATGAGATGAGAGCTATACCCAAGCCTTTCTAGCTCTTTTTGAACTTTCATTGGCTTGTTCAACTCAGCTGATCTGGCCCAAACTCCTCTCTAAGCTGACTGATTCAAACCAGCTTCTCTTGGCTTCTGACTGAATTGCTCTATTTGGCCTCAAACTAAATTTGGCAATGTGTTTTAATCTTCTGGCTCCTTTTCATTCTCTGGCTTGTTCTGTCTTCACCTGTGTCTCTCAGCAACCTGTCTCTGTAAAACTGTCCCATTAAAAAACTGCCTCACACACACTACGCTCATCCCCCTCCGTTCTTTCTCTGTGTCGCTCTTTAGTAGCCGCTCACCCCTGGGCTGTTCTCGTGAGAGCTGTGTGTGTCCTGTATCTGACTCATTCTGTCAAATATTTCTCCGACTCATTACTTTGTTCTGCCCCTCAATAAGACATCAATTTCAAAGGTCGCTGCTTCCTTCTATAAACCCTGATCTACTTTCACTGTGTAGGATTAAAGGTGTGTACTAAATTATTAAATGATTAATAATTTAATGTATAGGCAAGAATTGGATTTATAATTGAAAAGGACATCATGAAACACAGAAGCAGAAATGAGGTCTGTATTCAGCCAGAAGATATTGTAATTCAGGGCATGTCTGCAATCCAACTAGATCACATAGACCTAGAAGATCTTTGGTTGTGATACCTCACCAAAGCAGCCATGTTGCTGGATTAAAATTCCTCTCCAAATAGTAAGTAGCAGCAGCAGCAGCAGCTGTGCATTTTTTTTTTTTCAGAGCAGTTAGCTAGTGGCCAGAGTCTTTCTAGGATTTGATGACTGAAGGTGGGAGTGAAGGAAGCATGGCTCATATCAACCACACAGAGCATTCTTTCTGTGTTCATATTTGGAATTCCATTGGCTATGTACAATTCGTAAATGTTAATAAAACATATTCAGAGAAAGCTTAGCAAGGACAGTGTCAGCTGAGTGGTAAGCAGGACTGGGCCAGGCTTACTGCAGGGAGTTGCGATGGCCTGAAAGGGGCCCTGCCACTGTCTCTCAGGACCCGTGTCAGAAGATCTGTGCCATCCGCCTCTCAGAGCTGGAAGAGGACATCACAAGGAGGATGCAGAGAAAGTCCATTATCAGAAAAAGAAAAAAAAAATCTCAGCACCTCGTGGATACAAGATGGCATGAAAGAACGTTAAAATTGTCCCTTCTTTTCCCGCCGAGACAGGCATCACCAGCCCCTTCAGTTTCCTTTCTTCTCTTCTGCTCTAACATCCTGCCCCCTCCTCCTGCTGCACCGTGTGGCCACATCGTTTGTGAGTCCAGGGGAGACAGGTCTTAGTTCCACCTCAGGTAGCAACAGTAAATCCTAATGTTCTCAGACTATGTAGTTGGGAAGAAAACAAACCCTCCCTCTTCTGAGGTTACCTCTTGAAACAGTCGCTTGCATCCTTTGTCTGATGATACCGTGATGTTATGGTCTTAAATGGAATTCAAAAATGATTAGTTTCTACCAACACAAGCCACAGTTAAACATACTGGTTTATTGCCACAGTGCCACATCTGCTACTTTGACAATAACTGCAACACTAACTGGCGCTTACTGAGTGCTTACTTTGTTTCAGACACTTTCAGCTCTGGCACACTTGTCACCTCTATTAATCCTCACAAAAAAAATCTATGAAATGAATTTTATAAGCATCCAATTTTACTAATTATTGTCCCAAAGTCACAGTCAGCAGTGACACCGGAACTCGAACCAGGAAGTTAGCTTAGAGTCCTTACCGGCTATGCTTTGCCGCTGTCATGTTGCCAGCCAATATAGTTTTAGACACTATAGTGTCTGTCTGTCTGTCTGTCTGTCTCTACACATGCACACATGAGCCCATGAGAGTCAGAGAACAACTTGTAAGAATCATATCCCTCTCTCTCTCTGTCTCTCTCTCTCCATCACTTGGGTTCTGGGGTTTGAACTCACTAGATTTGACAAGAGTCTTTGCCTGCTGAGCCACCTCACTAGCCACCCACCAAAACCTGTAATAACCCAATAGAAGTTTTTTTTTTTTTTTTTTTTTGTGAATACAATGATATAAGCTATGGTAGTTTTCAGACTGTGAATGCCAGAGTGATCACCATGCAGGACTGAAAAGAAGAATAAAATTATTGCCGGCACTAGAAAAGAAGACTTAGGTTTGATTCCCAGAACCCACCTTTTCTAAATTTTTTTTTTAAATAATGATTTTCAAATGCTTCACATTGTAAAATTCACAATGTTTTTGAATCAAGATCGTTTCTTACTGAGCATAAAAATGTGCACTGTGTAGTTTTTAAAGCGGCACCAGAGTAAGCACAAAGAAGTATTTCCTTGGAGCTGTTGTATCAGATCGTCTAGGTTTTAAAACAATTTTATAGTAAATCCTATGACAACAAGGCTTTTGCCATAACAGAGCAATAAGAATTTTCCAGTAATCACAAATTTTATGTTTTTAATGTTCTGCATGACATTGATCATTTTAAGAAAAAGATTGCAATATAAAGATTTTAAGTGCAAAATAAATACATAATAAAAGTAAAATTCTTCATATTTATTCCTTTATCTATTATTATTCAAAATGTGTTTTTGCATCTGCTTCATTTCAAGTAAACTCAAATGTTTTGAAGAAACCAAGATGACAAAAAAAATGCAATACATTCTTCAACTAACTTACAACAGTGTATCTTAATTAAATTTTAAAAATCGTGCTTTTAAACTTATTTACTTTTGCCTCTCTACTGTCATATGCAGCATAACTTATTCTTGTGTGCTAAAACAACAAAGCTTCCAAATATTGCAAGTTTTCTTCTCTAATTTAGCAAAGACCACACCAACCTAACCAGTTTCTTCCAAAGCCACGAGAAGGCTACCAAAGAATTACTTTTTCATGACGAGTCTGGCGGGGCTCATAAATCATATATAAAGAGACGTAATTGCCTTTTTCCACATGTGCGTGGGAGTGTCTCTAGAGTCAGACGATTTTCACAAAACAGGAGCTCAGGAAACAGTAACCGAATACAGTAGGCTTGCTCGTGTGTGTGTGTGTGTGTGTGTGTATGTGTGTGTGTGTGCATCCCCTTTAACGCACACACATGGCTGCTACCCACGTTTTCTCCAGCGATCAGCAGACAACAGCACTCGAAAGCTGTTGTCAAAGTGCTCCGGAACGTGCACTCCGGGTTCAGCTCAACGCAGACAGTTGGGTGGATTCCGTAGGCTTGCGCGGGAATCTGCACAGGTGCCCGGGGCATCACAGCCCTCACTGGGACCCTGGAGTCTCCTAAACCAACCTCGTTTCCTAAAAGGGGCTGCAGGCCAAGCGCTGAATCCTCACGCTGCTGCTTCTTTGCAGGCTACGCTACCCCACCGAAGCTGAAGCGCAGAGCTCGCCCTTCCCCGGAACCAGCAGCTGGAACAGTGCCTGAAAGACCGCTGTCCCGGCCCTTAACGCAGCCCTGGGGCCTGGGGGCCTCTCAGTCCTGCCCGGAGTCCAGCTGCCCTGAGTCCAGCTGGCTGAGCCGCTTCACGATCATGCTGTTGATCTTCTTGAGGTCGTCTATGTCCTTCCCCTCGGCCGTCAGTCTTCGCGACACGTCTTCCATTTTGCTTCCTGTTTGAACTTAAAAACGGGAAACCGACTGTAACCGCGGAGCAGGCCGAGGGAGCCCGTGTGCATGCGCAACTGAGCGCTGGGGGCAAATCCCCGGGCATCCCGGAGGCCCAGAGAGAGCTGCCTGCCTAGTGACCCGGGCTATGACCTCCTGGTACCAGGCTAGGCCACCCCTGGCGATGCCGCAAGGTTCTGGCTGAGGAGGATGTGCCAGGTGTTGGCAGTGTGTCTGATCAGTTCCTCAGGATTGGTTGTCACATGGCTTTCGCTCCTTACCTGGAAAATGACATTCTCTGGACCCCAACATTTACCTGTGCCTCCACACGCATGAACATACACACACACACACACACACACACACACACACACACACGATAGTGAGATTAATATGTCTGGCCTAGGGTGCTTATACAATTAAAATAAACACTGTGTGTGTGTGTGGGTGGGTGGGTGGGTGTGTGTGTGTGTTTCGGGCACAGGATACCATAGTGTAGCTCAGGTTGGCCTTGAACTCAGGTTACCACTGTCTCTGCCAAACTTTGGGATCACAAGCGTGTGCCATCACAGTCAGCATAAAGACACTCTTATTCCCTCACCTCGTTTTTCTCTTTCTTACTTCAGTATGCTCCTGTCCTCAGCATAAAACCCTTATGCATGCAAGACATTCAGACACATAAAATATAACAAGAAAATGCGTCTTTTGAAAAATGGAGACTGTGCCATTCACATCCTGCCTTATGTTGCACGCCATGTCTGGGCCCTGAATTGCTCTTGTCGGCTCCATCGCCATGAGCGTATGAGGCTTCCGATTCATCAACAGCAAACTCGAGACAATGGCAGAACCTAGCCAGGCTCCGTACTGTCATCCCAGGATTCCAGCTACTCGGAAGAATGAGGCAGGAGGATCACAAGCTCAGCAGCCTAGCTTCGCCACCCAGTGAGTTCGAGGCAGACTGGTGAGCGCGTGTCGAAAAACACAAAGCGAAAAGAGTGCTAGGGATCCACTTCTGTGGTAGAGAAGCTGGCCTAGGTTCATTCCTCGGGGCTACATGCACTCTGTAGCACCTACACTACACAGCTGCTGGACGGTTTTTGGTAGACGGCCATCAGGCACTGAGTGCGTGGTACCCAGGAGCACACGACTCCTATGTGACACTTGCTCCTGTTACTTCCCTAATCTTTCCCCTCATCCTACAGAAGAGAGGCTCTCCTTCAGGTTGCTCCATTGTATATGGACATCTAAAGTGGCTCGCTGGTTTAACTGGGTTGTTACCTGCAGTTCGGCGTGGAAGGCTAACAGGCAGATAGATGATTCATCTGTTTGGGGCTAACGCTTCAGAATAAGAATCTATTGTCTTTTCTGGCGATGCAGGTTCAATGGCAGGCCCTCCCACATCAACAGCTGGCTACCAGTCTACATTCATTGCAAAGATAGTTCACCTGACTGCCTCTGAGTGGAAAGAGGCATGATGGGAGGGGGCAATTAAACAGCATTCCTAGTTCTGTGGCTTTTCCTGGAGAGGTGTGAATAAGATGCTTTTAGCCCCCTTCAAGACACATAGAACATCACAGAAGAGGAGATATCATTTAAAAAAAAAAAAAAAAAAAACTAAGAGCTTTAAAAAAAAAATGCCAGAGATGATGGCGTGCACTTCTAAGCCCAGCACTCAGGAGGCAGAGGCAGATGGAGCTACAGATCTACAGGCAGAGTTCGAGGCCAGCCTGGTCTACAGAGCTAGTCCCAGGACAGCCAAGGCTATCCAGAGAATCCCTGTCTCCACCCACCCATCCCCCATAAAAAGGACAGAAGGAGGAGGTTGTGGGCTGAAGAGATGCTCAGTGGTTAAGAGCAATTGCGGTTCTTGCAGAAGAGCAGCGTTTCATTCCCAACACTCCTGTCATGCCATCCGTAACTTCCATTTCAGGGGATTCAGTTACTCTCTTCCATCCTCCAAGGGCATCTGTACACACACATATATGACCAAATTAAAAAAAAAAGAGGAGCGGCAACAGCAGCAGCTGGAGGAAGAAGAGGGGGAGGGGGCAGAGGAAGGGACAGAGTAGCTATTTCCTACAAACTAAAGCATTCCTTTCTGGATGGAGGAGAGGGCACGTGACATTCAAGGCTCAGGAAACGCAGCAGCCTGAAGGCTCCTCCCCAAGGAAAGATTAGTGAACAACCTCCACGGACAGGAGCTTACTACAAGTTTTAGGGAGTTCCAAGGGCACAGTTTCCTCAGCTAGCCACTCACGCTGGAATGGGCTTCCTGGTGACGCAAGCTGCCTTTGAGATCCTCCTGCTTGGCTCGCTGTTGAACTTGGTCCATCAGGGGCTCGGTTTGGAGAGGTTTAGATGGTGGGACCCTCCCAGAGGAGTCACACCACTACACGAGGGTGCCGGTGCCGAGGGCTGCATCCTCGCACATGGCCGCTTCCCTCTCCCACTTTTGTGGTGAAAGCTGCCGTCTCTCAGAGCCCTGCTCCAGCCACCACACCTGCTGCTTGCTGCCATGCCTCCCCGGCATCATGGACCGTGACCCCTCTGAAACCATAAGCCAAGTAGACTCTCTTTTCTTTAGGTTGTCTTGTGTTGTGTGAAAAGTGGCTAAGACACCTGTAATGCCCCAATAAAGTCATTGCCATGCTGGACTTGAGTGCAGTCATTTTTTTGGTCTATCTGGATAGGGTGAGCAGACATTTTTTTTCATGTCTCCACAGGAAAAATCATAAAAACCCCTTTCCACAAGCCCAGCCTCAGACACCAAAAAGAGTCTTCTTACCATCGATACCTTCACTGCCTCTGCTCCTAAATGAACTTAAATAAGAAACGTTGCAAAGACAACAAAATTACATTTCTTATTGAAAATTGCTAAATGCACCAGAACTTGGAGAGGCTGGGACAGGAGAATCTCAAAGTCAAGACCAGCCTGGCTGGGGCCATGTAGTGCAATCCTGTCTCAAAAAGAAAAAAACTGTCAGATGCCAGAAGCATAAATACAGAGCATAAATGCCACAGCATTGTGGGAGCATGAACTTGTGCCCAAAGACCCTGCCAGGAGCAACAAAGAGTTTTGAAGACACTGGGTCCCCTCCTGACTTCTCCTGGAAATTCTGATGGCTGGAAAGCACTAGCTCACTCCAGAAGCAACAGCTGTGATGCCAGCTATGAAGGCTGCACACACGTGTGGACACCAACATGCTGGAAGTACTTACTTATGAGGAAGATGGCAAAGAAGACCAGAGCCAGGCTGACCATCAGCACCAGGAGCAGCCCCACGAAAAACAGACCCCGGCTTCCATTTCCTGGGGTTGTGCCAGCATTTGCAGTTTTCTCCTCGAAAGCTAATAGGAGACAAAGTGACAGATTCTCCGCACCTCACAGAGATGTGACGGACACGCCCATTTTCCCTAGAGAGCCCTGGAAAGTGACTTCTTCGTGAGGGATGTCTTTGGATGCTCGGTTTGAAACCCTTTGCTTTCTCTTTTGGAATTTAAAGAATGAGTAGGCTTAAGCTATGTCCTTGAACCTGTTTAGAAAGATCTTTGAAAACTGTTAACTGTGGGTTAGAGGGGCATGAATTATTTATTCTTTGGAGAAGGAATGGAAAATTGATGGAGGCTCTACCGCCCATCTTCTAAGTGATCTAAACAGAGCTAGGTATGTGATGCCTTCCCTGAGTGGAGGACCAAAAGCTGTGCCGCGTATCCCAGGAAACTGCTTTTATTATCAGAATAATCACTTAGATCTATAGCCATTTAGACAAGAGAGCCCCTGGGGTATTTTGGTTTCTTAAAGCTATTTCCAAGACAGGAAATAGCTATTTCCTCTACAAGCCAGGCTCTTCTCAATGCTTTGTGCTGGGACTTGCCTCTCATTAGCTACTTTGTAACTCCTAGGCACCTAATAACGCTCAGATAAACTAGAATAAGAGCTGGCGTAGGGAGACTGCTGAGTGCATGTTATATTCCTTCTCTGAATTGGCCCCACACGTTGTACTGCTTGATTACATAATCAAGTACATCCCAAATTCAATCCCATCACCAGCTTCTGCTTCCTAATCCCAGCCACAGCACAGCCGACACCAACACCCACCTTCTATTGAGACTGGCGGCACTAAAAATAGGTGAGGAACTGAACCCACTGAACAATGACAAAAGGAAGAGTTCAGAAAAGACCAGATGGGAACGGTGGTTATAAAACTGGACAATAATTGTAGACTGTGTGTGAGGCAAATGGCAAGTGGCCCATTAACACCTGCATTTGAATCACCATCAGGTTTGCTGGAAATAATGGGGCCAGAAGGTCTGGAAGGCCTGAATTCTATCCCTAAGACAGTAAGATACACTTTGTATTCAGGAGAGTTTGGTTTTGCTCTCATGCCCCTTCTAACTCTTTAACTGGACAATTTGTAATGTGTAAGTGTAGAATAAAGATGACTTTTTGCACAGCAGAATCTTAATGAATTTTTTTTTTTTTTAATGAACTGGTAAGTGTGTTGAGCATCTTTCTCAACCATCTCTGATAAAACAAGACCCCCAGGGAAACAAAGACTATAATGGACCTAACTGTGGTCACCAAGAGACACAACAGGCCAGAGGGACTGAGCAAGCTCTGGGAGGCCAACACTGCAGCCCTGCCCACTGACAAAAACACCACGCCACCCTTCCCCAGGGATTTTAAAGGGAAAAGCAGGACTCCCACTATGCAGCCAGCCTACCAAGAACTGCCCATTAGAGCCCAGGCTGACCTTAAATTCGTGATCCTCCTACCTCACCCTTCAAGGGTTGGAACTACAAGCATGAGCCACTATGCCCAGCTTCTATCAGGGATTTTGATGAGTTCAGATCTTGCCAAGAGAGCCAACAATCCTTTGACAGATTGGGAGCACAAAACAAGAACTTGCTTAATGATAAGTAATATTTTCAGAGCCCAGCGACTGCCGATGCCAGCCCACCCTGCCCTGGGCAGTTTTAGGAAGTCCCAAAGCCATGCTTCTGGGACCATACATACAGAACAGATGCTGTGATTCTGTCGGACAGAGATTGAGTTTGTTTAAGTCATTTATGGAATCCACAACATAGAGTTTTCCTTCTTCATGGGTGCCATGAGATCCAGCACCCTGGGAGGAATGAGACATTGTCCCTGTAAGAAAACAGCAATGTTAAGAAGAGAGGGTGGGCTGAGGAGCGGGTCAGCATCCATGCAGCCGTACACAAACGCTGGGCCTGGGGACAGAGAGGCTGTGCCCAGGAGAAAGCATTTCCTCGCTTAGGTGATGCAGTGGATATTCCTTGCTTCTGCTTGCCAGGGTCAAATGTGTGGTTAGAATACATCAGCTCTTACCCTGCTTATCTGGAATGTTCCTCTCCCCTCCTCAGCTTCTCACTTTTCTCTTACTTTCTACCAATCTGATTTCTTTTTCATAATTGCCACTTAAAAGGTTTCTTTCTTATTGCATGGTTCCTACTTTTTTAATATGCTTCAGGTCTTTTATACAGAAACACTACTGATAAAGACAAAAATTAGCTAGTCAACAAGTGACCATAAAGACAGACAGACGTGCCAACAGATAATTATGAGTTTTTCTTATTACAGGATATTTGACCACACTGTGACGACCCCCCCCCCCCCCGCCAGATTGTGTTGTTTCCTGGAAAAACCTATGTCTACTTGTGGTGTGGATCAGCCCTGGCACACACCTTTAACCCAGGAATTTTCTGCTTGAGTATTGTGAACAGGATTACATAAAGGTCAAGAGGTGGAGCAAGCAACAGGTTGACAGGAAGCAAGCATAGAAAAAAAAATACCATGGAGAGTAAGAGGAAGTCAGGGGCTGGATAGGGAGACGTACAGGAAGTAGAAGGGAAGAACATTCAGTTTTGAGGGTTCTGTGAGAGTGTGAAGAAGGAGGTTTATTTTTCCTTTTGGGAGGTCATCTGAGCAGGAAGGTCAGCTGGGTGCTTTCTCTGCCTCTCTGAGCTAGCAGATTTTCACCCCAGCATCTGCCTCTCAAGTCTTTATTGGCAAAATCGAAGGGTGGAAAGAGGAAGCTAAGGCCATAAAGCAACAAAATTGGATACCATCTGAGGCATGAGCTTTTGAGTTTTCTTAAATAAAAAAAAGGTATATTTTATTGTTTGGTATTAAAAACAGAGGTAAGAGATTTTAAATTTTTAAAAGTGAATTCAAAGGGTTACTCCAGTTGAAATATGTTTTTTAGATCGCTAAGAGTTAAAGTGATTTGGAGCTAAAATAAAATATTTGAGCAGGGTAATTGTAGCCCATATCTTTATTCCCAGCAGAGACAGGAAAATCGATGTTAGTTGTTTTCTAAATTCTAGAGTTACAGTGAACAAGGTGCTGGTGGCACACTCCTTTAATCTCACTACCCAGGGACAAAAATCAGATAGAGCAACTAACTGGTATGTTTGCACACTGAGGAAATCATATACCATATTTACCGGTTATTGTAAAGAAAAACCTCTATGGGGTTATTAGAAAGGCAGCTAGTTTCCAATGGGGACAGGAACAAAGAGCAGTTTTGAGACTGCAGTAGCTCATCTCCACACATGCAAGCCTGACCAATATTGAACCAGATGATACCCTTATTATGGATATCATATTTATTGGTAAATTGGCAACTGGGGAGTCTTTATAAGGCAAAAAGGAGTCCACCAACATTTGCCTGTTGGCTTCTGTTGCAAACGCTTTCCATATACAGAGAACAAATATTCTCTCTTTGAGAAACAAATCTGGACATTTTATGAGGCATGAAGAACCTGACACTCAGTCATTGCCAACCACACTATATCCATAAGGATACCCCTTACACTGATAAGTACACTTGAATCTTGAACATATATATAAAGAGAACAGGGAATACAGGTATATTTATCCACACATACTAAAGGTATATTTAGCTTCAAATTTTCAAAAGAATATTTTAAATTTTAATTGAAAGATATTACTTTTTCTGTTGCCAAAAAATGTTTTGCCCTAGGAAAAAATATAATCTGTCAAAAAAAAAAAAAAAAAACCTCCTCAGAGTTAGGGTTGGAGCAGGGTTTTTATCTTTCCAGGAGAATAACAGCATCCAACTAAAGAATCCAGAATCCAGAGAGCACTGGACAAATAGAACATCTGAAGTAAAAGGATGAATAAGCAAGAGAAAATGTCCCAAGAAAAAAAGTAAGTCGGCCAAGTGAGGTTGGCTACCCTCCATAAGTGGCAGACATAAGTGGCAAATGGTCCTGTGGGGTTCCAATTCAATCAAAAACTAAAGCTGGCTTTGGGATTAGAGTGTGCCTCACTTCTTCTCAAAACCTATGCATGACTGTCAAGGAAAAACCCACAGAGGAAAACAAAAAATAAGGGACTATTCTATTGTTCTATTCTAATATTATATTCTCATAATCTTTCAGTTTTTGTTTGACCCTATGAAACTTTTCTTAAGGGTATAGTGGTGCACACCTTTGATCCCAGCACTTGGGAGGCTGAGGCAGGTGGATCTCTGTGAGTTCAAGGCCAACATGGTTTACAAATTGAGTCCAGGACAGCCAGGGCTATACCACCGAGAAACCCTACCTTGAAAAACAAAACAAACAAACAAACAAAAAATCATTATGTGTATATAAACTTTCTGCCGTGATACTATTAGTTATGCAGAGTACTAATTCTAAAACTAAACTTCATCAAGCTTTCTGTACATGTTTTCAGGTTTGTATCTGAAACAAGTAACTAGGAACAAAGTTTGTGTACCTCGGATGTACTTAATAGATTGTGGTCCCTAAACCTTTCTGAGATCTGCAGAATATGGCCTTTAAAATGTTTAGGTTTCCTACAATAAACCGTGACCATTCCTAACAGTAACCTTTGAGGTCTCCAAGAAAATGATGGAGCCCTGAAATGATGAATCTGCCTAGATTTTGATAACACTAATCACTGGGAAAAATTGCCCCATGCTTCTTCTGTGTCCAGGTTGTGCACAAACAGTATACACATTTGGGTAACTGCTGTGTAATTGCTACAAGATTGTTGTCAGTAAGCTGACAACCACCATCCAAAGATTAGCTTCGGAACTGCTCAGGACATCCAAATTGCTGAGTTCGTAGGAGACTGACCAGAACATTTTACAGATCTTTAAACTAAAAAAAAAAAAAAAAAAAAAAAAAAAAATCTTAATCCTATGACATTTTTATTTAGACAAAAAGGGGGAAATGTTGCAGGTATTTGTCTCATAAACCCTGAGATTGTGTTGTTTACTGGAAAACCCTGTTTCTGGCATGGTGTGGCTCAGCCGGCACATACACCTTTAATCCAAGAGCTTTCTGCTTGAGCATTGTAAACAGCATTAAACAAAGTTAACTCCTAAGTCAAGAGCTGGGGCAAGCAACCAAGGAACAGAAAGTGAGCATAAAGAAAAATATTGAAAGTAAGAGGAAGTCAGGAGGATGGCTAGGAAGACCCACAGGAAGGAGAAGGAAGAGAATTCAGTTCTGAGGGCTTTTTGAGATGGTGTGGGGAAGGAGGTTTGCTTTTCCTTTTGGGAAGTCGGCTGAGGAGGAAGGTCAGCTGGGTTCTTTCTCTGCCTCTTTGAGCTAGAAGGTTGAGTCGTTATTGGAAAAATCAAACATTTGAGATTTTGTTAAAAACACTTTCTAATTTCTTAAATTAACACAAAAATGCAGTCTTGGGCTTTATCAAGATAGCACTTGCCACCAAGGCTGACAACCTGAGCTTGACTTCAGAAATCCATATGGTGGAAGGAAAGAACAGCAACTCATGAACTGTCCTCCGGCCTCCATGTGGCACTCAAGTGCCAACCCACACATACACAGGATAAATAATGTCTTTAAAACAACCAAAATCCAGTGATTCCCCCAATGGCACCTACAATTTATTGCTACTAGTGTAGACCATTTTGGTAGAGTGCCAGAACAAACACTAAGGTCAAAAAGTTGTGTGCTGACTTTTTGTTGTTGTTCCTATTATCCTGATTTTGGGAGGAACGTACTGTGCCCTGCATTACAAAGTACTTTAAATATTGAAGTTATTGAATTTCATATATACTGCCTGGGGCAGTCCCTAGAATGACTTGACATGATACAATTAAGCAGCAGTGAACTACCGCCTTAGAGAGCAAACCCCGCCCCTCAGTAAGCAAGCCACACCCTGAGCGCTTTCGGATGCCTAGGCATGGTATCTAAACCACTCTTCTAGAAGTGCTTTCTGTTTAATCATCTCCTTATACATTGTCATCCCAAACACTTTTTATTTGAACCAGTAAAAAAAAAAAAAAAAAAGAAAGAAAAAGCTGTGTCACATGGTGGAGTCATTGCTGTAAACACAGCTTCTATTTTGAGCATGGTAACGGAGACTCAGTTCATTTCTGAATCTGACTTAATACCCTTGAGCTTCCATTTCACCCTCAGGAATGTCACTACTGTTGCTAAAAAACAGCAACAACAAACTGTTTACAAAGTCGAGGACTAGCTAGAAAAGTCATTGCTGAGAAGCCCTGTCTTCAGAGCAATCGTCCAACTAAGCAGCTCGGCTAGCCTTGCCACAGACTAAGATGCCAAGGACTCTAAGGGATGGAGACATGGCCCTAGGTCTGGCGGCCTGAACGCAGTCTCTTCCCTTTGCTCAATGAGAACTGACTCGTTCAGGTTGTCCTCTGACCTCCACAGAAGTGCTGTGGCAGTAACATGACCCCCCCCCACACACACATACAATTTAAAATAAAATCTGTAATAAAATGTGTTCGAGATATTATTGCTCTACAAGGCAAGTAAACAATGGAATGCTCTGAAGGAAAATCTCTTTACAGTGAGCTCACAGCATCTTTGGAAGTTTTTCAATGTACCTTTTCGGTATTGCAACATGTCAAAAAGAAAGGCAAGCTAGGAGAGAAGTCAGTGTGACTGACAGCCTGCAGGTGCGTAAATGGATACAAGGTCACATGTCAGCTGTTGGTGCCAGTGGTTGTCGTCTTTGGCAGCTGAAAGGAGGGCATCCGGGAACAACCAGCAAGGCTGGTTCGGAGCGTCACCACCCATTCCGTGGGGCGCTAGCTCGGCCCTCCTGCCCCACTCCACTGTGCATATCTGCTGACTCACCGATGGCCACAACAGCACC